GCTGCTTAATTGCTTATTCCTGGTTTGTGAATTGTGATGTTTCTAATCTTATGACTAGTTACTTCATGCTTATTCACAATTTCCAATGATATCATGGATCATTATCTATTCAAATTATTAATGAAAGTCAATTACCTATCAAAGATATTAATTATATTATGAAAGATGTCCTCAAGTCTCCCATTGTCTCAAAGAATCTCATCTCAATAAAAAATTTGATTGATAGCAATTGTGAGGTTTAATTTTTTGTGATAGCTGCACTTAGCAAGATTAGGAGACTAACAAACTACTTATGAAATGACCTAAAGTTGGAGAAGTTTTTCCCTTGTAGCTATTTATTTCAAAGGTGTTATGCATTATCCCATACTAAGATCAAAATCATGGTCTCTAGCATAACTGTTAAAGATTAAGTCTTCCTAACTTTTATTTTATTTTATTTCACTCAATAAACTCAAGTTTATTATGAAAGAAAAATCTACTTCTTTTATTTCACTTGATCGGGTAACATCAAAATTAGGAAAAAAACATCTTTTTTTCTCATTACATGGTAGTCATGCTGAAAATTATTTTGATTTGATCTATAATAATGTATGGGGTGTCACTCTTGTAATATCATGAGCAAATTATCAATATTTTATAACTTTCATTAATGAGCAAATACACCTTGATTTACTTTCACCATCAAAAGTCCAAAGTATTTTTTAACTTAATTTTTTTTAATTTATATTGAGACGCAATTTTTATTTCACATCAAAATATTGAGATAAGATTTTGGAGAGGAACATATTTCTTTTGAACTTTCTTGACTTTTGTTTAATAAGAAAATTATTTCATATATCATCCCCCTATATACTTCAAAAAATAAGTGTTGTGAATTATAAAATTTTTCTCCTCCTATATGTAGTGTTGTAATCGAGTGGGAGTCAAGCCGAGTATGTCATGGATTGAACTTGGCTTGGTCGTATCATAAGTTGTTCATGTTCAGTTCAAGCTCAAGTTGAGTTTTCACATATTTATTAGTACTTAAATCTTTTAATAATTATACTTAGTTTATACTTGACTTTGTGCTTGGCTTGTTTATATAAATTTGAACAATTACTTCAACAAGATAATAAACATGCTAAAAGTTTGAATGAGTACTTGATTTTTCATATAAATTTTTAATAAATAATTTTATAAATCTAAATAAATAAGCAAAAGAATAAATTTTGGAATTTTTATCTACTTTGTTTATACCAAAGAAATAAGATGATATAGGAGTTGTCTGTAAGCTTTCTCACAATCAAATAATATAAATATGTACTAAAAAAATTAATTCATTGATATAAAAAAATAAGAAGCAATTGTATTAAATTTATATAAATATTAATGTTAACCGTATTATTTATAAGGTTTAATTAATCAATTATTTAATTAAAATATCATATAAATATAGAATATTTAACAAGTTACTTGTTAAACAACAAATGAGTTTGTGAACATAAATAAATGAGTTTGCATAGTGTTTAAATTCAGTTCATTTAACCTTTGATTTTTAAAAAAAATTCAAACATGTTCATCTACTGATTTGAACAAATATGATTGAATATTAATCCAACTGAGTTCAAGTTGTTGGTTAAGTGCATTGGCTCATTTATAGCCCTACGTAGATGTTTCTCGAATCTTGTTACTAGAATCCTTAGTTTTGCTTAAATCTTGGGTTGAATCATTAATTTAGCTTACTCTTTCGAATCATTGGACTTAATAGTCTTATTATAATCTATATTTAAAATATGCAAACTATAAAAATTTATACACATTTAACTATGTTTATTTTGTTCATCTAGCAACAAATGAACATCATAAATTTTCAACTCAATATGTTAAATGCATAGTTGCGACTAACAATTCTCACAAAGGCTTTTTATGTTATGATCAAGTCTCCAGAAATTTTGAAATCTCGTCATGTTGTATTCATTGAATACTAATTCTTTTTCTCTACAAGTATTGAACCTTTATTAAAAATCTATATTCTTCCTCATTTTGATGACAAAAATCCTAATTTTAAATTATTCAAACTAGAATTGTATATGAAAGAAATCATCCAACTCTACCGGAGCTTGAGACTATGTCAATTAATGTGTCACCTTGAAATCTCACAAATTGATCCACAACATAAGTTAGCTAATGCAATTGCAATCATGATTCCTTAACACTATGCATAGTGTTTAAATTTAGTTCATTTAACCTTTGAGCTTTAAAAAATATTCAAACCTGTTTATCTACTAATTTGAACAAATATGATTGAACATTAATCCAGCAGAATTCAAGTCGTTCATTGAGTGCATTGGCTCATTTATAGCTTTATGTAGATGTTTTTCGAATCTTGTTACTAGAATCCTTAGTTTTGCTTAAATCTTGGGTGAAGTCATTAATTTTGCTTACTCTCTCGAATCATTGGACTTAACAGTCTTATTATAATCTATATTTAAAATATGCAAACTACAACAATTTATACACATTTAATTGTGTTTATTTTGTTCATCTAGCAATACATGAACATCATAAATTTTCAACTCAATATGTTAAATGTATATTTATGACTATAACACTTCTCACAAAGGTTATATATGTTATGATTAAGTCTCCAAAAAATTTTTAAATCTCGTCATGTTGTACTCATTAAATACTAATTCTTTTTCTCCACTAGTATTGAACCTTCATTAAAAATCTATATTCTTTTTCATTTTGATGACCAAAATCCTAATTTTGAAATATTCAAACTAGAATTTGTATATGAAAGAATTTATTCAACCCTACCAGAGCTTGAGCCTTTGTCAATTAATGCGTCACCTTGAAATCACACGAATTAATCCACAACATAAGTTAGTTAATGCAATTTCAATCATGATTCCTTAATCCTGTTATCCAATTTCTAATCCTCCAAATTGGCATGAGTTTCACATCAATCTACCTAAACATGACTATTACAAAGAAGAAATGGCTAAAGAATTTCAGTTTCTAGAGAATAGCCATACATGAAATATTGTTCAATTTCCTTCAAATATTAAAATCATGGGATTCAAATGAATTTACTTGATCACTATGGATTATTACAAAACATTAATTGCCCTTGGTAATAATAATGAATATGGAATTGATTATGAAAAACATCTGCTCTTACAACAAAAAAGACCATAATAAAAATGATTATCTCAATTGTTGCTTCACAAGGATGACCACGTCCTTGGATAAATGCAACAAAATACTTTCACTTATGTCAATCTTAAGAAAGAAATTTACATGAAAGTTTCTCCTAGGGCATCTGTGGTTTCTCTTAGAAGTATGCAAATTAAAACGTTTTTTATATGGTTTGAATTAGGCTATTTGTGCATGATTCAGTAAATTTTGATCAACCCCATCCAATCACTCTTTTACATCATACAAATATTATTCATTATTTTTTTTCTATAAGACATCTTGTGGAATGTTATATTTTTGTTTATGTTGATGACATTGTCATTACTTAAGATAAATTTGGCTATTCTTATTCATCTTCAATAACACCTTCAAGCCATATTTCAGACAGAAAATTCTATGGTTCTCGCTCACTTCTTAGGTTTGAAAGAACATACCAATTGCTTGGTAATTTTCTAAATCAATATATAACAATATACAAAGGATCTGTTTAGTTCAGCATGTATTTAAAATTATCTGGCTAGTTCAGCATGTATTTAAAATTATCTGGCTATGTGTATAAATATTCTCTATGTATACTCCATTAGAATTAAACAAAAAATATTGTATAAAGGAGACCTTCTCTCTAATATCACCACATAAAGACAGCTGATAGTTAGTTTAAATTTTTTGACTATTATTCAAATTATTACTCAACTTTTATTTATTTTTTAATTCAATAAGTATGTAAATTTATGAAGAATTCCTACATCACTTAAATTTAGCTGCCTTATATTAAATTATTCATTATCTCATTGGAACACCAAGCCATGGCTTGTCCTGTCCATGTGATTCTTGTATTTAATTGGTGGCATATAATATGCAAACATGATTAGTTTCACAATACTTGCCGATTAGTTGCAGGATGACGCATATCTTTTGGTTCTTTTTTTATCTCACGAAGAGTAAGAAATTATCTCATTGTGTCTAAATCATCCATATAATTTGAATATAGTGCAATGTCTGCATCATGTTAGAAATTATCTGACTATGTGTACTACTATCCAAACTTGATTTTCTCAAGAAAGTCTCCACTTCTCTATATACTGACAATAGAAGTGCTATTTAATTTGTTGCCAATTTGGTGTATCATTACAGGACTAAGCATATTGAAGTTGATTGTCATTCATAGCTGATGCTCATATTATTTCTCTTCTTCACATCCCTACAAACTTTTAAATTGCATACATATTTACGAAAGCAATGGGCAAATAGAGTGAGCATATTCTTGCATACAAATTGTTTTTTTTTTTTTGACTAAACGACATCAATTTAAAGTGGGATATCAATGAATATAATTAACTGAAATTTGAACTCCACGAATAATAGCTAAATTGGCTCCTTGCATTCTACCTTATCAATCCATGTGTTCATGAATACCACTACATCAATCACTGTACGTGAACTTATTATAATGAATTGTATAGCTAAATTTCTGCTTTTAATTGTGTATAGGTTCTATTATGGATCAATACTCAAGCAATTGTCAACTCAAGCAACTTCGTGCTCCATTTTCTTTGCCACTTAGTTATTGGTAGGATTAACATAAACCATTTCCACCCTTACCCTTGTAAAGCTTTAGGTTGACGATCATCAAATATGATCAGGATTTTGAATTTCAATGTTCTAGTTAGCTAAATTCAAATAAAACTAAAATTTATTGTTTTCATCCTAAATGTAAAAACAATGCAGACAGAATTCCAGGAAGAAATCAGACTTTGAACATATACGTTAACTTAATAGCACATAGTTATGTGGTGGCAAAGCTGAAGAACTGTACTCACATGATTCAACTGATTTTCCTCCAAGAGAGCTTCTCCTAGACCCCTTGATTTCAAATGCTTGCACATTGGTTAAAGACTGTCTCCTTCTATACCTACTTTCTACTGTTGCTGGTGATTTCGTTACAGCATGCAAGTCCTTGCCTTGTTTGGGTTTCATTAGAGATGACACTTGATGGTCCCTACATGGTAAGTTGCGGTAAGATTTAATTAAATTGAATGAAATAATACTTGGCAACAAAAATTGGGACTCAAAGCCCTGTTCACCTCTTCTCGGATCCATTTAATAACTTGCCAAATGTCTGCAGCGATTTTCGTATGTGCGATCCTTTTGAGCTGGATAATGTATTGGAACTCAACTTAATTTTATTAGTATCAGGAGTCGCCACTTCACCTAATTGCCCACATTTGCTCCCCAGAATTGTTAACTGTTTTACAGATGGTGAATTTGAAATACTCGAACAACTAAGCAACCTTTCTTTATCATTTACTTGACTGTGCTTTTCAATGGTTGCATCTTTGATTTCTTTATGAGCAACATCTTTAAATTGCTCTTCTTCCATTTGCAAATGTTGCTGCAAAAAAAGAAAAAAGGAAGAATTAGAGAAGTGATTCGGATGAATTTCTCAATTAGAGGTTATAGTAGAAAAATGCAAACAATTTACCAATGAATTCTTACATCTGACTCTTTTTTAGTTTGATTTTGGCTTTTTCCATGCTCGGAAGTTTCCAGGCTCAATCTCCGCAGGCGTGTTACAGAATTGTCTGTGTTGAATTTTGGTCGTGGAAGAGGAGATTTGGTTGGCAGCTTTCTCTCTAATAATGAAGTGTTTTCCCTCATTTTATGCAAATATAAGACCTTCTCCTGCTCCCGGATTGCCAGTTCTTTCTTGAGACTATCTACCTGAAACTTATTTCAATCAGTATTTCTCATTCAAAGAAGTTTTTTCATATAATAACCATAAGACAAATAAAAAAAGCTCTTCAGGCCTATGGATGCTAATAAGCCTGTAACAGGACAAACAACATGGAATCACACGAATGAAATATGAACTTTTTATCAGTGAATTTTTGGATAGGAAGTCTTTTATCATTAAAATACTAATGTTGGCCAATCACACCTTTCTACATTTTCATGGTTTAAAGAGGTTCATGGCATACAATGGGAAAACCCTTCAAATCAATATAAAAAATGAGTGCCGAGTGTCGAGTCTAATTTATTAGCTATTCAGTATAAAGTTTGACCTTGAATTTTCAGGATTGTCGGTTAGTATAAAATCCCAAATAGAGGCTACTATAAAGTTTTAGATAAAGGCTACCACAAAATTCTAGAATGGAGACTACAAAAGTCTTAAATGCTTGTTGATCATTAATGTTAGAATGTGAATTCTTCACTATATTAATCCATATAATTTTTAATTGTATGACATCCCACAACAAAAGCAATTGGTGGAACCAATCTCATTGAGATTCCATTTTGAATTCTAGCTGATCGGTCAAACTTTTAATTTATGGACACAGATGAATATGATGAGATCAAAATGTTACATTTATGGACATGAATATAATATTAGCCAGAGTTTCACTATTTAAGGATCTATACATAGTGCTTTTGAGCAACCAAAGTTTTCATTATTTATTCTCAATATATGGAATTTCTACATCTCTTTTAATAGCATCATTTCCAATTTTGCATTCGGTTCTCGCGCTAATCCTAGCTGTTAAATATATTCAATCAGATAAAGTTGGTTGTTGGGCCATTCAGTGTTCTTTATTTGATGGATGGGTCTTCCATTTCTTTATCTGATGGAGAGGTCATCCCTCATGGGTGAGTCATGATGAACGATCAATGAGTCTCCTCTGGCCTTTTGAATGAATAACTTTAGCTTAAAACTCCATAAGAGAGTTCATACACCCTGGGAGAGTTGATGATGGCAGTTCGATCTGAAATATAACGGTTCAATTGATTAAATAGTCTAATTATGTATTGTGGGAAAATATGAATTTTGTTTCATTAGAGTTATTTCTTGCATTATTTTTTTAGGATTTATTTTATATCAATTGTGTTTTATTTATTTACTTGAAACTCTACTACTTCTCATTAAAAATAGAGACTCTTAGGTCTCTATTTATTTCTTGCATTATTTTTGTAGGATTTATTTTATATCAATTGTGTTTTATTTATTTACTTGAAACTCTACGTCTTCTCATTAAAAATAGAGACTCTTAGGTCTAGGTTAACATATTGAATGAATATTGAATAAGAATTGAGAATATTTTTATTTTGGCCACTGCCTTTTCTTTTCTTCCTTCCTTATCTCTCCCTCTCTCCGTGTTATTCCCCTTTTGTCCCTCATCTGTATTAAATTTTTTATCAACATTTAAGTAGTTCAAATGAACGTGTCCAGGCTAATTAAAAACATATGATAATTTTCTTTGAAAAGAATTATGTTGCTATAAACAAAATTTTTTTGAAGCATATATTTAGCTCATATGTGTTGCTTTTAATTGAAATGAAAGCTGGGCAGTTCATTCTTCAAAACTATAGCAATCTACTCACGACTCATTTGGTTATGTGTAATTAGAAAACATTTCAACATTTAAGTAGTCCAAATGAAATTGTCCAGGGAAATTAAAAACATATGATAATTAACTTTGAAAAGAATTATGTTCCTATAGACATAAAATTTTTGAATCATATATTTAGTTCATATGCATTGCTTTAATGGAAATGAAAGCTAGGCAGTTCATTCTACGAAACTATAGCCATCTATACAAGTGTTTAAGCATAAGGTATATTCTTGTGTTTAAGAAATATGTAGGAGTGATGCACAATATGCTTGAACAAAAAGTAGGACTGAATCTTTGTTTAGGACTCATTTGGTTGTTTGTAATTAGAAAACATTTCACCAATTGCTAGAATTTTTAGATTTCATATATATATTCGGTGCAGTTAGAAATCAACATAGTTTTTAACCTCCAATGTAATAATTTCTTTTTTACACACAAGGCAAGTGGAAACAAATTTTTCAATCTTCAAAATATATTTAAAGTCTACAAGCAACTAAATGAACCCTTAGGAAGCACATCTGAACCTAAAATAACTTCTGCACACTAGTATCAAAACGTTTAAACTGCTGAATGAAAGCTTTACCTGTTCTCTGAGATCATGAATTTCTCTGCTTTCTTTGTTTACATGAGCAGCACCAAGCTCTACTGTGGATACTCTCTGTGCAAACTTCAGGGTACTGATCGTCTCTCCATATGACTCAGCTTCTGGACTTGCATGAGCAAGCATTAACATCTTTCCATGTCCTCCTAAAATCAGTATTTTAAAGAAAGAAATTAGCTAAATAGAATGTTTAATTCCATAGTAAAAAATTATAGGTCAAAGTAAATCAAATTGGAACCTAGGGAGTTTTGTAGTAATAAAGTGAGCTTGCTATTTCTGTATGGAATATGTGAACTCTTTTGAGCCAAAGCTGCAATAACATCTCCCAAACAAGAAAGGGACTTATTGATATGTTGCGCCTCCTTCAATCTATCTCCAGTAACTTCGGATTTATCCACCCTCTCACTCCCTGCAAGGTCTACCAAATGCAGGCAACTTTGTAGTGTGTTTCCCATAACATCTCTACCGCACACATGAATTGTCAATACACTGCACATAGATTCTAATATTAGAAAACAGTTGCCATTTATGCAATTAGTGGAAAATTAAATTGGGCTATTCGGTCTAGTTGGTGTCATTAAGTATTAGTACTATCAAAATGCGGCATAGTTATCCATCAAACACCGTGATTTATTGTTGCTCTAGTATTTAGATAGCATGACATCTATATGCCATTTAATTTGTGTTTCGACAAAATAAAACAAATAAATATCATTCACATATTTATATAGAAGAATATGATCAGTGAACTAAACAGCCTCTCTTAAAATATATTAAAGCGAGAACCTATGAGATCGGCTGCTTCTGTTGTTCATTGCAGTGCAACTGAAGGCGCGATTCTTTTCTCCTACTTTCATCAAATTCATGATGTCGCTAGTTGACTTCACACGGTGCATGGTGGCATCAGGAAGGCTTAAACCACCATTTGTTGAGCAATTTCGAATCTCCAACGTAGAATTGGCTAAGGATTACAAGAATTTAGTTTGTTGGGAAAAAAATTGTACAAACCAATCATTTTAGAATAAGAGTATAATGTGCATCAAAGGATATTTTGTTGTTGAAGTCTCCTCACTAAGAAGATCACGCACTTGTTCATTGTATATCTCAATCATCTGAACTTGAATCTCATACTTGATATCCTCTCTAATGCAGGATGTTTGGAAGATGTCATTAAGAGCTTTGCTGTTTATTCCAATATCTTTAGCAGATCCTTTTTCTGGGCCACACTAACAAGAAAAAAATATGCAAGGAAAGTATCTTTAAAGCTGAAGTATTGTAGTATAAATTTGTTGGCAGTATAATTGACCACCCTACCATAGAGTATGTTTTGCCAGAACCTGTCTGACCATAAGCAAAAATGCACACATTATAGCCATCCATCACTGATCGGATTAAGGATTCAGTCTCTTTGTAGACCTCCTCTGATGGTTCAACAACATAAGGTCAAGATTATGATAATTATGAAACCTAAAGCACCAGACATACAACCTCAACTTACCTTGAGTTGCGTTAGGTCCAAAAACCTTATTAAACTGGAAAGTCTTACGCACATTTTGTGCCTTGAGTGGATCAAGTAAGATCAATGTACCATCATTTCCGATGTAATCTATTGAACTTTTGGCTCCTGATACAAAGACTGGGCGGACTCTGCAAAAGACTTGAATGTTTCCTGAAGGTACATATAATGAGAATTTCACTCTGATATTTATATTTCCTGGATTTCCCCAATAAATGCACAAACCTCTCAATTCTTGAAGCATATTATGCAAATTTCTGTTTTCTTCGACAGCTCGATGATAACCCATAGCGGCGGCAGAGAGCCCCTCTATTTGGTTTCCTACATGAATGATAAAAAACAATTATATCATGTGCAAGAAAAATCTATAAGAAACAATACAATTACTTGGGCTGTTTTTTCAATAAAAAAGTTTCTCAAGGCTCTGCTTTTGAAGTAAATAATGGTGCTAACTCAGCATTAGCGTCATAGATATAAGACAAACTATCAACTCAAATGTTCTTAAATTGTCAAACCTATTTGTATCAAATCATTTTGAACTTGGGATTGAAGTGCAGCAAATTCCAACTTGGATTTTGACAGCAAGGCTTTGATTTCCTGGAAACCATGGAGATTTAGTAAACATCTAATGCCATTTTAGTAAAAGAAATGTCAACAAATGAAATAAGTGATTTTGCCTCTGATGAAGCAATGCCAAAAAAACTCCTCTTGCGCTAAAATTGTAAGGGGTGAATATACAAAATTGCTCAAAGCATTTTAAAGCAAAATCATTAGCCAAGCCTTCCACAATGTAAATTACAATGTCCTGAAGTGAGAGGACAACATGAATTTTGTAGGCCATAATTAAACTGACAAATTATATATTTGACTTTTGAACTTTGGATACTCTTACAAAAATACACCACCCATGAATACACCAGTTTAGATTCTTCATAATGCACATCAGCTCATGAATTCAACTTGGAAACAGTTATAACTAGAACAGCCTAAGTAATGCATTGTGTTCATTAGAAGCATTAAAAATACCATATTCAAAACTTCATAGAAATTTAAGAAGCAATGCATTAAATTTAATGAATTAACTAGATTTGCTAATTAAAGTGCTAAAACATTCTTGGCATTGTGGTATGCATTTTTTCTTGTTAAAAGAGACTTCCATGTTATGTAAGGATAAGAGTTTTACAATATTTTACTGGTGAGGAAGGGTCCCCCGTATGATGCTGGTCGTCAGGAAGTGAAAGCGGGATTGCGTCTCACATGTGAACGATTTCATGCGACCCGCCGCTTTGCCTGGACCAAACCATCCAGGTTTTTTCCCTTCCGAGGAGTTGGTCGGTCCTTTTGGGCCACTCATAGTTATCCTCTTGTTATATTTATATTTCTGATGTTTTATGTTCAGTTTTTGTGTGTTTTGTATTGGAACACCTGTCGATGTCTCTTCTTTCCTTCAAGGGCTCTATCCTAAGGTTCCAGTTGGTCCTTCGGTTGTATCTTAGTCTGCAAGTGATGTTACCTTTCCCTTCCTCCACATCCCTTCTACTTCGCTGCCACACATTCACCCCAACAGAAGCCATTTTGTTGTTTTCTTGCAGTTCCTCATTGTCCAACCATTTTTTTTACTGCCCCACCTAGGATAACCTTCCTTAGGTCGTTTGGCTGTCCATCACACTACACATCACCATTCCAGCCCTCTCAATCCTCACTGCCATTGCAGCTCCAACCCTCCATCTTCGATGCCTTGTTGTTCCAGCCCTCCATCCGTTTCAGCCCTCCCCCTTTGCTGCCATCATCCCGGGCAGTCGCGCCACGTCGATATTTGCGTGTACTTGCCGTCTGGAAACCGGAAAGTCATTATCTTTTATTATTTTCAGCTTGCCAATCGCCTCTCGTCCATCATCCCACCACCTTCTGAACCCTTGATCACCGCCACTAACCCGAAATCCACACTAGTTTTAGTTTCTGTTGTCATTTATCGCATTTTAGATTTTCATGTGTGTATTGTATTTTCTCTTTCAAGTTTGTTGGTTGTAACCACTTATTTATTTTCAGTAATAATAATTATTTTTTTATGGTTTTATTTGACTCAAATATCATTTGATATCAGAGCTTGCCCTACTCTAGTATTATCTTAAGGTTTCTAGCATCCCCCCTTTTCATTCACTCTAACTCCACCCAAATATTTTCTTTCTCACTCTACTCACCCTTACACGCCTTTCACCTACCCACTCCTAAACCCTAATCATGCCACTGAAGAGACAATTGCCGAAGACCTGAACTGGAGGAAAGATTATGATGTCGTTTATGAGAAATCTGCAAAAAGATGTTTAGGATCTATGGAGAATATGTGACAGGAAGTCCTCCAACTGCAATATAGGTTTTCTTCATTCGATAGAAGGCGATCCAAAAGGGTCACTCATAACTGCAACGGTGACTTGCGCGATAGAAAGAATGAAGTTAATTTCTTCCACCATACGAATGTCATGGATGAAGAACCTCTACCCCAAAGATCTGAAATATTCGAGAAGCCATAATTTTAAAATAAAGGTGAATTTTCCACATTTGCCAACCACTTAAACCCATATGAGTTTATCGAGTAGCTCTAGATTGTGGAAATTTTCTTCGAGTATCAAGACATTCTACTTGACAAAATGGTGAAAATAGCACATACGATAGGATGTGGGAAAAATAAGATAATTATTTGGTCCAAAGATGAAACGAGAGATGCAACGCTAGTATCTACCAGCTCATTGCAGATCGGATGTTCTGACCCAGCTTCAAAAGTGGAGAGACAAGATCATTGGGCAACTAGAGAACACCTAGGGGAAATCCAAGCCAACCCCGCCTTGAGGAGAAATTGATTCAAAGTAGAGAACAGGTGGAGTGAACCAGTATTCTTTAATATGCCCCAGTCAGAATGTATTTTAAGTGTCATGGATTTGGACATGTTAAATTATATTGTACAACCATAAAAATGATCTATTTCACGAAGCAGGGAGTAATTGAATAAATAAGCAGTGAGACAAGAGAAGATAAAAATTTTAGAGAGAATTCTTAACTTCTAGCTGAGAAGTAAGAGACATCAATGATTCAAGCTTAAACTTATGAAAGAGTCTCCAATTGAGTTAAGAGTAGTTGTTCTAGAATAGAGTGAGTTTAAGTTAATGGGTGTTTATGTAGAATATGAGGTTGTGGTGCTTCAAACTATCTTTTTGCAGGCATTGAGGGAAGCATCAATAGAACTAACATTGGATGTCCAAAAGGGTCGTGAATTTGAGGAGCTGATACCAAACTCGGGGAAACTCCAGATAATACAATTTTTGAATCTACTTCCTGAGTAGTCCTTACAGAGCTTTTAAGCTACATCTGGAAGACCATAGAGTCCTTTGGGCATTAAATTCAATTTAGTCGTACACCCACCGCCAAATAGTTAGATAGAGGGGAAGAACCACAACTTCAACAATTCTGTGAGACCCATTGCTTTGTCTGAACCTAGCTTGTCCAAGTTTTCTCCCTTTCGAGGAGACGACCAGTCTTCTTGGGCCACTTCTAGTCATCCTCTTATTATATATTTTGTATTGCTGCAGTTATATTTAGTTTTGTATGTTTTAAATCGGGAAAACCACTGATGTCTCTTCTTCTCTTCGAGAGTTGAACCACAACTTCAACAATTCTGTGAGACCCATTGCTTTGTTTGAACCTAACTTGTCCAGGTTTTCTCCCTTCCGAGGAGACGACCAGTCTTCTTGGGCCACTTCTAGTCATCCTCTTATTATATATTTTGTATTGCTGAAGTTATATTTAGTTTTGTATGTTTTAAATCGGGAAAACCACTGATGTCTCTTCTTCTCTTCGAGAGTTGAACCACAACTTCAACAATTCTGTGAGACCCATTGCTTTGTCTGAACCTAACTTGTCCAGGTTTTCTCCCTTCGGAGGAGACGGCCAGTCTTCTTGGACCACTTCTAGTCATCCTCTTATTATATATTTTGTATTGCTGAAGTTATATTTAGTTTTGTATGTTTTAAATCGGGAAAACCACCGATGTCTCTTCTTCTCTTCGAGAGTTGTATACTATGTTTCCGGGTGATGCTTCGGTTTTTTAGATATAGTCTACTTCCCGAGTGCTCTATTAAGGGAGGTCCAACATATCATAGATGAAGATCTATTGAACTACGAATGGAAGACCATGTGGAGGCATTTGGGTATTAAATTCAGTTCAGTGGTGTATCGGGCGCCAAATGGTCAGACAGGTGGGATAAACTTGCTTATTCGATACATCTAACAAAGTACTAGTGGGAGAAGCAAATTATAGATCTACTTGCTTGGAAGTTAGCTCGAGTGAATCTACGTCATTATGTAGCTCCATCTCAAGTTGTGCCAAAGGTGGAGGAGTATTTATTCTATCAGGATGTGTTTTGGAATGACAATGCCTGCAAGAGCGACTTAGTTGGAACTTACATAAGGTCCATTTAACACTATACTACAATGAGCTAGAAACTTCGACGGATGAGGTCGAAGCTGCCCTATACTTGGAAGATTGGCGCGGGTCTCCCACATGATGTGGGTCTTTCACAAGCAAACACGTGATCGGGTCCTACACACAAACGATTCTGTGAGACCCGTTGCTTTGTATGAACCAAACCGGTCCAGTTTTTCACCCTTCCAAGTAGTGGGCCAATCCTCTTGAGCCACTCCCAGTTATCCTCTTATTATATATTTTGTATTGCTAATATTATATTTAGTTTTGTGTGCTTTGTCTGAACTAAACGTGCCCGGGTTTTCTCCCTTCGAAGGAGTGGGCCAGTCCTCTTGGGCCACTTTCAGTTATCTTCTTATTATATATTTTGTATTGCTAATGTTATATTTAGTATTGTGTGATTTGTATCATGAAATTCATCGTTGTCTCTTCTTCCCTTCGAGAGTTATATACTATGTTTACGGGTGATGTTTCGGCTTCATCTTGGTTTCCAAATGGTGTTAACCTTTCCCCAACTCCTCAACATCACTCCCGCTTCAGTGCCATGCATTCCCCCTTGTTGTAGCGGCTCCGACAGTAGCCCTTTTGTTGTTTTCCTATAGTTCCTCATTGTCCAACCTTTTTTCCTCACTGCTCTTGCCTAGGGTAGCCTTCCTTTGGCTGTCTGGCAGTCCACTGTGCCCCCCATCACCATTCCAGCCCTCCATCCTCACTGCCATGGCCATTCCATCCCTCTCTTTTTACTCTAGCTGTTCCAAACTTCATCTTCGTTGTCGCTGCTGTTCCAACCCTCTTTCCTCCCTACTCCCACCTAGGTTAGCCTTCCTTTGGTTGTTTGGCAGTCCACTGCGTCTCCCGTCACTGTTACAGCCCTCCATCCTTGTTGCCATGGCCCCCTTCCTTTTCACTGCCTCGCTGTTCCAACACTTCATCTTTGTTGTCGCAGTTGTTTCAGGTTGCTTCCATCATCTCGAACAACCGTGCCACATTGATATATGTCTCGCACTTCCTTTCCGGAACACAAAAAGTCATTGGCTTGTTGTTTTCAGCTTCCCAACCACCTAGTCCACCATCCTACCATCTTCCAAACCCTTGCCAATCACTACTACCATCCCGAGAT